TTTCTAGCCTAGAGGAGCCCAAGGTGAGAGCACAAAAATGACCCTTCAGCAGTCCCACTAGATAAAGTGTCTAATGATGAGACCCAGGCAGTGACTACATCCTGCACCATCCACTCCACGCACTTCAACAACCGTGGCTTCAGTTTAACTGGTGGCTTCTTTTCACAGCATAGGAAGTGTTCCTTTCCTGAAATGCAGATGTTCTCACTGTTCTCTGCATCATCACCTCCTATTTCATAACAGCATTAAATAGCATGTGCACACACAACAGTGGCAGAGGTGCCTTAATCCTTTACATCCTAAGTGTCTTTGGAATTGCTTTATGTCCCCTGCTAGCCCTCATTTTCCCATCCTATTTAAGTCTTTTAAGTTATAGTTGCACTGCCACAGCAAGCCTGGTGAGGGAAGCCAGCACCTCACTCCTCTTCTATAAGCCTAACCCATGCCTCAGGTTATGAGGCCGGGGTGTTTCAGTTTTTCAAGCCTTGTATTCCTCCCTAGGCCAAGCAGCCACAGCTCAGAGTCTACAGGAAAACACATTTGCTGGAATTCTATTCTCTATTACTTTTCTGCACATCCTGGAGTTTGAATTGGCAGCATGATGAGTTTTCTGAAATCATTTGGTGTGTTTGCCGTTTCATTCTTAGCATGCCCACACAAATCACACAGGGACAGAAATCAGGGGGCTTTTTTTCTTATTAAAGAAGAAAGTTTTCCATTTTCATGCCTCATGAAACCTGCACAGAACACTCTGGAAAACTATTGGCACAATATTTGGAGAACAAAAATAGCTCAAATTTGAACTTCCTGGAATATCACAAAGGCTGTATTTGGTAGGGGCTTACAGAGAGGGCATGTTGTTTCTGGCATGATGAAGGGATAAGACGTTCCTGTTAGAACAATTCTGTTAATGCTACTGGCATTTTATTGCTACTAACCATCTGTTGGCACATAGGATAGGTAGCTTTTAAAACAATCCTGAATACCTACCTTCAGCTCCAGGGATCTTGCTCATCTTACACCAGTTTTGAAGGAAGGCTCAGATTCTTTCATAAATAGATGCAGCTCTATAAAGTCAAGGAGAATTGTAATTGCTTATATTTAGCTTTTTAAAGATTGCATATGATATGGCATAACTTACAAAGGTTGGATCAGTTTTCCACACTTGCTCTCACACTTTTTACATGGTTCCTGGTCTGCTTAAATGCAAATTAGCTGTGGAGTTACTTGTGTTTTATATTTTATATTGGGGTTAGCGAGGTCTCCTTGAAATCATAGAAACCAATGATATAGGAGAAAATAGGCCTAATGCCTCTCCTACTCTGTCCCCTTCTGTGAGGCACATCCAGGAATGCTGAGTTCCATGGCATTTATTTGTGCACAGACCTAATCCTTAGTTTGCCTACAGGAACTGTCACTTAGGTCAGGCTGCATTTGATAGGGCTTGACCAGTTCCCAGTTTTGGAAAACTTCCATTCCAACTACTTGGCCCTGTACCTGTCTCAGGTTTCTATATCAAGGAGTTTAGCTAGTTCCACTTCAAAGTCTCTGTTTATTTATATCTTTTTAATACTGAGCCACAAATAGTGCTGAGCACTGACACCTCCCAAACTCTGCTCTTGGGAACCTGTCAAACGTGTTGCATGAAGAAGATAACTTCGTATTTACTTAACTCCTTCAATGCTCAGGGCAAATGTCTTGAATTCAGATGGGAAAAGATGGGTGATAGCAAACCTGCAGTGAAGGAGTAATTAAATAAAATGGTAGTGACTTGCATGATGCCCTGATCTGATGTAGGCAGATCTTTCTTAAGTAACCAAGGCTAAACCCAGCATTTACTCTCTTTCTCTGATTCTCATTTGTAGAATTGGGAACAGCTCACATCACTTTACCCTACCGGGGGCAGAGGAAGCAAGGATAAATTCAACAAGCAATGCAACAGTGTGTTAGGGGGCATACAAATAGTAGTAGGAAAAGTTCTGACAAAGGTACCACATTTGTCCAGACTTATAAAACAACTGAGTTCAAGAAAATTAGATACGCCCTGGTTTTCCTCAAGGCACAGACAACACAGAATCATAGAATGATTTGGAAGGGACCTTAAAGACCATTTAGTTCCAACGCCCTGCTATGGGCAGGGATACCTTTGACTAGATCAGGTTGTTCAAAGCCCCATCCAACATGATCTAACTTGACCTTAGATTTCCCACTGCCAAGAGCTGAAATAACAAGCTGTGTGCTCTTTTTTTTCCCCCCAGATTAGCAAGACCTACAGTGATAGAACAGGTAACTGTGAGAGGAAGAATGACAAATCACTATGTATAATTATTCCTTTCTTTCTTGAGGATGCTCAGAAAAAATCTTATTTATCTAATAAATTTAGGACTGAAACTAGGGCTGAATGCTTTACTAAAAGGAGAAAAAAAAAGGGGGGGGAAACCCCAACAAAATAGAGTGTGCAATGTAGCAGCAGCACCTCATCCAGAGCTGCAGTGCTGAACATGGCACCACACTGAAATCAGCTGTTTTTAAATGGATTCTGGCACAGCGTGAGCTCCTTCTCTCTGAAAGTCTTTCCCATGCTGTGCCAAAACTGCAGCCGTGCTGGGTTGTGGGGTGCCTACGTTTTTCCTGCCACGAGGGGGACTCCAGGGCTTTCACCCTCAGTGAGAAACAAGGAGCACACAGCAGGGTACTTTAAAATGGTTGGTACTTCTCCAAATAGACCTACTGCCCTCCCGTGGCTGCCAAGGAGCATCTCTGATGCAGAAACGGAGCCCAGGGACTGAGGGAAACAAATAACTATATATTCAATTTAAACCAAAACCCAAGTTACAAGGAATAGGAAAGCAAATACAGTGTGATTGACTAGAAGTGCCTACAAAGGCAAGAATGAAGCAGGGAAATTTACTGGTTTGGGAGTAACAGGGAGAAGTCCAACTACTTTTGCAAGGACAGTGAGCCTCAAGCTATTCTTCACCCGAGTCCATCAGAGAGTGCCATTTGCTTAGAGGGATGGTCCATCTAACTTCATCTGACTGCCCCACAGAGCAGTCCCCACAGAGCTGCCCCACTGTTGCTCCACTAGCAACAGTGCAAAAAGGTATCAGAGAGCAGACCACTGCTCCTTTTTCTAACTGTAGTATACAGGTGCTACGACCTTGCTGTATCTACTAATCCTCATTGGTACAGCTTCAGCAGAGTTTTTTCTGAAACACTTCGTACTGCAAATGTGTCCTTTTCTCTCTGTGAACCAGGAGGAGACAACATTTCTACCACAGATTAGCTTCTGAGGGCCTTCTCTTAAGAGCCTGAACTTAGGTTTTATGAATGAGATCTTGAGTACTTGATGAGAACTGCATGGTTCTGCAAGGATTGTCTTGTTTCTTACACTTTCTTTATGGCTGTGCTGCTTCTTGTGCACCTTCTGTGGGCAGAGCACATCTCCAGTCTTTGATGCACTGCAGACACTTCAAACACAATAATCCTGGGACAATCAAAACCAAAAGCAATAGTGAAGTTGTTTTTGGAGGCAAGAGAAAACACAGCAATAAGCACAAGCAGCAACTCCGTGCTCAGAGGGTGACAAGGCCAAAGTGGTTCTATTGCACACGCTTCTAACAAAGGCACTAAATGCTGCAAGGAGGCCATGTACCTCCCAGCAATGAAAAATTACATTGGGGATTTGCATTAGGCACCATTTCTGTTCATGGACTTGGCTTCATCTTAAAGACTGGTGTATGCTTAAGCTATATTTGAGATTAGATGCAATGAAACACTCATTTTAGACTGGAGAGGAGGAGGGAATCTGACCAGGATCATGTAGGAAAATGCTAACACATGGCCCTTCCTATAGGACTTCAGGCTGTTGAGTGACACCAGCATCAAGAAGGACATCGCCCCAGCCTACCTGTGCTTTTTCAGGGATGTGCATCAGTGGGAGTATTAGGATTTCTTCAGGGTGACAGAGACTGCAGTTCAGCAGAGCATGCAGCAAGTAGAAATTGGTGAGTGAACACAACAGACAGACAAATGTTTTGCTCCTTCAAGTTGCCAGGTCACTGAGTCAGTATCTTATGTAGCAGCCAACTACTAAGTAGAGTAAATCCTGCCCTCTCCATTTTCACAGCTTAGGCCATGCTGTACAACATTAACATCACCAACAAAACTTTGCTTTAGGCACATGTGAAAATGTCCACAGAGAAGAGACATCACTCAATGTCATTTTAAAATTTGCATGTATTTGTGTATATACACACACAAACACACACATATATATATATTTGTAGTAAATACATATGAACTTCTACACAATTATAACCACTCCAGTATATACATGCTGTCACTCACCAGGACAATACATTCTGTTGCACTGACAGAATCTCTTGCTTGGTTACCTTTTGAATTGCTCAGTGAAAGGCCAATCTTTGGCAAGTAGACATCTGCAGAAAACCACCACCTCCAGCAGTGATCCTTCAGTATCTGAAGGTTCCCCTCCCAGTTTCCTTCAAGTATCAGCTCTGCTTTCATAGAAATAAATTGTTTCTAACAATATGCTACAACCCTGATAAGCCAAGCAGGATATTTCTTCCAGCACATACAAATATTTCACATCCTCTCCACGCCACGCAATGCAAAAAGTGAAATCAGTTTTGCCAGTGATTGTAATCCAATTTGGCCCCATAACTTAGTTAAAAAGAACAAACACAAACAAACAAATAGAAAAAACAACTCTCACATAAACCTTAAAAATCAGCAGACAGAACTCTACTGATTTACGTTTCCAAAGGAAATACCTTTTAGTAATAGTTAACTCTGTCTGCAGCTGCTAAGTCCAAACTTTGCAAATGTAAGAAATGAGGACAGAAAACTAACAGAGAGGAAGAATTACTTATTGTCCAGGCTGAGACACACACACACAACTCGTAAAAACCCTTACGTCCTTCTTAAAAATCAGTTTGAATCACCTGCATGATGTCCTTGTTAAATATCAAAGTAGATTAGCTGGAACAAGTTTATTAGAAAAAGGTACTACATTAAAAATTCAAAGCCTTATCTAAAAAGTTTTTCAGAGATAAAGTTCTCCATCTCTCACTGACGTTGCATTATTCACAAAATCTTGTGTTACATATTCTGACATTGATCAGCTGTCAAAGAAAAAAAAGCTTGTTTGCATAACAAACACTCAAGTAAAAAGGAAAGGAGAAAAATCACAGAACTTGGCTATTACTGAAAAACTGACTCTCAGAGTAGAAATAAAGTCATTTTCAAAGGTGGAGAAAACATAAAGGTTAAGTCAGACCTATATATTTTTTACTGGCACCAAGCACCAATTTTTTTTAATGAACTCACTTGAGTGTGTGTAACTATTCCTAGAAGTAATGTAACAGCAGATTAAAGTTTGCACCCCAATATTTTGATACAAACTATGACAGGATATTTCCAAAAGAGTCCCTTTGACAGTAAATAGCTATTTTAAAACTTGTAATGAAAAAAAAAAGTCTTTAAACTGTACAAAAACCTAGACAAACCAAGCCTCCATCAGTGTAAGAGAGGGACCTCTTCATAAAAGGAAGGTAATTCCTCCTTTGGAGTAGTTACAACAATGCACAGAAATGAGACCAGAAACACACACAATGAGTTACAGGTCTGATTTACTGGAGTTGTTCAGTCATTTCCACCTTAGGGTAATTTGAGGATTCCAGTATGGACCCAGAAAAATATTTTTAAAAAAAATGAAACCTTGGGAGGAGAGAGCAGAAAAGTATCTGTTTTCCCAGGCTGAGGATCCGATGTGCTGGAATGGGCAGCCCCACCTCCATTAGCTGTTGGCTGCAGTGAGGGATGCATCCCACCACTGACACCCTGTCTAGATCCATCATGGCTTGCTATGTCTAACTAAGGTGAGAATAAATAGGCATTTGGGGCAATTTCAACAGACGTTGTGTGCACAGCAGCCAACTTACGAAGTTCAGCCTCGCTGCTCTAGAGCTCACACGCTGCTCTGTTCTGTGCACGTTGCCTGCTCTGCTTTTCTAAGTACTTGAAGCTCGTGTTTGCACAACACCTCAAATGTATGAAAACTCAGAAATTCCACAGCACAGTTAAAGTTGTCTGCAATTCCGGGGCTAAAACACCTTAGCTTCCGGAAGATCAGACCAGATCAGACCCCTCACCTCTCTAGTGTCCCATTCTACATGCAGGTTTCTGTGCTCACAACAGCCACTGTGCACATCAAATAACATAAAAGTAACACTCTGACATCAGCAAGGAGCCAGGCTTTTCACCAAGAATCCTGTGAAAAATCTCAGTTTAACCGATAACTATTAGATTTTTAGTACACAGCATGTCACAGAATTAGTGTTTTCCTTACAAATATATGGCATTACGTGTAAAAACTTTATGACCTATTCCAAACAGTGTACCATACTTCACAGCAAAGCTTGAAAAAGAATCCTCTAACTCCGACTTCTTCTAAATATACAGCTGGTGGGAGGCCAGGGTGTCCATGAATGGTCGCACAAGGTTGTCTGTCGAGAAGTAAAAGATCAAGCCAAAGGTGATGGAGATGGGAAGAGCAGGCAGTGCCTTCTTAAAAACAGCCAGTAATAAAAGTGTTAAGCATAAACCCTGTAAGAGAAAAGAAAATAAAAAACACGAGGACATACAGTAAGATGACCAGAAACATATCTGCCACCAACAACCCAATATACAGATAATCAGCTACATGCACTGTACAGAACTGGAGCCTGCCTGGGCTACCAATGGTATGATGTATATTTGCCCACAGCTTCATCTTTTACACAGGTTGGCCAGGTTCTTCCTCAGCAATCTTGAGCACATCTCTCTGCTGAGACAGTGGTATAAACAGCCAATGCTGACATACAGCTGACCCCAAGAGGTTAACTTATTTACAGATTATTTCGCTTTTTGTTCTGTGCCATTATGTATGAAGTACTGACTCAGCAGACAAAAGCACTTAAATCCTACTAAACTGCAGACAGAAGCTTCACTGAAGGACTCTAATACACAGCAGGATGTGCTTATAACATCTTCCCAGTTTACAAGGTCTCTTGGCGTAAAAAAAGAAAGAAAAACAAAATAAACCAAACCAACCCAAATATCCACTGCTGTTCTTTTGACTGGATTGCTTACTACGATAGCTGAATTCTGGTTTAATCTGGATAGGAGACCAAGCTCTGTTTTCTGGAGCATGTGTGGAAGCTGTTGTACATTTTGGGTAGACAGTAAGGCTTAGTGCATTTAGATATCAATTCCTTCTCTCACCAAAGCCCTTTTTAATTCCTCCATGATGACAAACCTTCAAAGACACTGGGCTCCAAAAATACCCACTAGCTAAAGATCAGCAGATAGGATCTTCTAATCATTTTTTATAACTGTTTATAGGCTACAAGTTTGTTTACAATCCACCTGAGCCTGTGGCTCTGTTCTTATACTCTTAGGGAACATATCTGGCCTACATCTGCCCCTTAGTTCATATCTACCTTTAAAGATGTGCTTACTGCTGGGGCACTGGAGGGATATTTTAGGGGAACCAGAAAGCCACACAGCAGCAAGATTATGAAACTGCAAAAGGAGACAGAATGAATTTTAACAGTGCTGTAAAAGACACAGACTGGGGCATTTGGCCTCATGGACAGACAAGCAAGAACATTTCCCCAGTGCTGGACCCCAGGATATGGAAGTAGGTGATCCTATAGGTTTCTCTGACCTATGGGGTAGGAAAGCTACACTCAACACACTTTATTTAAGGTACCTCATTTCTAGCTCTCTTGCTCTTTGATCCACAGTCTTCACAAGTGAAAGTCACTTTCACTATCCTTAGGATCTTACTGGGGAAACAACAGCCCGAGAAAGACGCGATAATTGATTTTCTTTTACATTCTAAAAATCCTGCCTTTCTCGTTGTTAGTTTCCATGAGGATGCTGATTAAACAGCAAGTGCATAGTAATCATTTTCTACCTAGGTGAAAGCTTTGCAGTGTGTGGTCATTAGACCTGGCAGGACCTGCTCCTTTAGCAGTTACAGTATGTTTGTCCTCTGCTTTTACTGATAATTTCCATGGATTTAAGTCTCCTTCCTTTCCATTTTTTCCAGCCCAAATAGTAGAATAAAGTAGGTCTTCATCCTCTTACTAGCAGCTCCCTTTAGCACAAAGGAGTTAACCTTTTCAACTACATTTGCTAATCAATGTAGTGTTTGTAATATTGACTTTTGTGGCTGATAAAAGTCCCCAATTGTCTAATGCTGAAACAAACACACCAACAGTTCAGCTGCAACTGTTTTTTCTGGGGCTGTTTCACCCCCTTGGCTCTGCTCTGATGAGTCTCTATCGTTCAGGTTCAGTGGCTGTTTGAAGCCTGTCTTTATACACAGAACAGTGGGTGGTTTCTCCTAAATATCTAGCATGTTACCTGCAGTGATTTAGCAGTGCTCAGCTGCTGGTACTTCTGGCAACACTGCTGTGCTAAACAGGGTGTAAAAGAGCTTTTAAAAGCCTGCTCACTTACTATGAGAATGGCTACAAAGCAGGCAAGCGTGGTATTCCAGTCTCCACTAGCTGTGGCAGCTGCTTTCCCAACAAGCACACTGTAAAATATGAAGTCTCCAAGGCCCAGCTTCACACCCCCTGAAAGAAGTGGAAAAAGAAAACAAGTATTAATTTTGAGCCTCCTGTTTTGCTTCCTCTGGAACAAATTCTTGTCCCCTGGAAAGCAGGTGAAGGTTCCTGGTCCTGGCTACCAGCCTGGACCCACACATTTCCAAGGAGGCTGAGACTTCCAGCCCCGCCTCCCGCTGTTTTTCCTCAGCCTCATTCTCTGAGGTGCTTCCCTGGGCTGCGTTATAATGTACTGCCTGAGGAAGCACAAGGACAGAGAGGGACAGGAGGTAAGGGGAAGAAGGAACTGTTCAAATTGTACACATAGGCAGGAGATGTCACTGGAACTACAATCCCAGAACAGATTCTACAGTAGCAAGAAGTAATACACAGTCAGACTCAAGATCTTTGTTGTTCAAACAAGTCACAACTCTTCAAATTAACTGTCATTAGTCCAAAATGGGTAAGAGAGCACTAATCACAAAGAGTATAAATGTCAGGCTCTGACTAGACTGAAAACAAGGTATAAAGCTTCCCTTACTTTCCTCCTCCTCGAGCTCCTCTAAAGAAGTGACGGGGCGGGTTGGAACAGGACTCCTCGTCTCTGACATCTGAGAGTCTGCATGTGAAGGGCTCCTGTGGTGTTCTCTCCCATCCTCAGCTTGGTTCCACAAAAATAGGCCAAGAAGAGCATACCAAGAAGAAGAAACACAAGAGGTAGCTACATTTATAACTTGTTTTAGTGGATGAAATCCACACTTCTGTGAAGCTGCCCTGGAATGGGTAAGCCCTTTGTTTCTTGGAGGTGTGATCATCACAACCAGTTCAAGCAGACACATTAAGTGGCTTTGAGGAAAACAGGTTATTATTTGTAACAGTTGGAAGGGTACGTGTTCACAGCTTCTTTGGCAGCCACCCAGAAGTTCAATGGGTTACCAAGCAAGCACGTACACAGACCTAAGCATTGCCCTGCACAGGCTACAATGACAAGTAAAGCCAAGTAAAGTTAATATGCATTCCCACATTGTCATACCTTTGGGGTGGAGGTGCTCAGGTATTCCTTAACTGGCAATATGACAAAAATGGATGACTAAGAGGACTGCCATTTATGAGAAAAGTCCTGCCCTGATCACATTGACATTGGAGCTGCGTGTTCACATATAAAAAGCAGACACATTTCATTGTTCACAGATTTAATCCCCCCCCCCCTTTAAAACACATCTGACAGAGCCCTTGATAGTGCTTTCGGGAGCAGCCAGGCTGTGATCCATGATTCTATCTGACAGTTCTTATTTTTCAGAAGCTCATACAAACTCTCCAGGACACATCAGTCTGACAGGATGCTGCTCCTACCACAGAGGTTTTCTGTACACCTCAGCAAGTAGTTTGCACCTGCTCTGGGCCCAGTTTCAAAGCAGGATTGTGGCCCTGCCATTGCTTAGTTTGTTGGCTGCTTTATCCTGAAATAAGTGGCATGTTCAGTTATCAAACCTTTGCATACATTTATTCCTTTAACATTAAAAGGTACTGTCATCTCTGAAGTTCTGCAGTTAACAACACTGAAAAAAATGCATCTGTGAGGATTCAGGGCCTTGCTTTTACTTGCAGTCTCAAACACAAACATTATTTCCATGGGGCAGTGCTCTGTATAGAAGAGGGACATGCAAACAAACCTGTATCCCATGTCTGCTGACTTGATCCTCTTGCTGCTGTGTCTGGCTTTGCCATTCCAACTGTCCACATCATAGCAGCTAGAAGAAAGAGAGAAAGTAATCGGCTGCATAAATCATTGGTCACTATAGCCCACAGGAAATAAGTATTTAGCTGTCCCTAAAAATACCAATCTTTGTCCTTGTAAATGCTTTTAAAACACTCACTCTTAGCTGGTTTCCTTAGGCACTGAGAAGGCAAGGTGGGAGAAAGAGAAGGCAATGCATCCATTCAGTTTTTAAGAAGGTCCCAGAGCACAAATAGCTAAGAGTCAGTATAGTCTTGTCTGTGGGCTAAGGAAAGCAAAGTTCCAGAACTAGGGTCTTCATCTCCTTTGTTTTCTTCTGGGTTTCTGGCTTCTCTCTTCAGAGGACAGATTTTCCCGGGAAATGATGGTAGTACAAAAGGTAACCAGAGGTTAACTTAACAGCTTACTCATGTTCTGCTAGAGGTACAGCACACAAGTGAGGGATATGCAGGAGTTGTCACAGTGCTAGTTTTCTCTCTGCCTGTTTGTTTTGTTTCCATCCTGTCAAATATTGCCTATTTCTGTTTTGGTTCCAATAACAACTGAAGGACGCTTGGGAGTTTATTCTTGAGATGGATCCCTAAATTAAAAAGGAATACAAACCATTCCGAAATCAGTGGAAGGAAACTCAAATTATCTGTTTATTTAAGTGTGCATCAGTCTTCCTGTTTTTTTAAAAGCTAAACTAAACAAATCAAGCCAAGGCAAACACAGTGCCTGCTTTTCTGCTACAAGCTCAGCCAAGCTGATGCTTTTGCATCTAGAGGGAGCCACAGAATGTGGTCTTGCAAGGGAGACACTGATGTTCTGCACAAGAACTTCTCATTCAGTATTTATGATTTGCTGAACTGCATTCTCCTTTAGAGAAACTCTTTGTTTGTTCACTAAAGCATGTGAGAGACTTCATCTTGAGGTCAGTATAACAATCTCCAGTAAAAGGGAGGGCAGCTGAAGCCAACTGAGGCTCTCCTTGGAACACATAAAAGCATTTATATAACATTAAATGCTTGGAAAAAAAAAATCAATCAGGTTGTAGACATCCTCAGCTTAGCACCAAACACGGAAATACTCATTCATCTCACAAGTGATGTAATGAAAAGTCACTGAGGTCCATGAAGCACCTGAGTCCACATCCAATGAGCATTGAGTCTCCTGCATTGACTACCTTAACCTTAAGCACATATATACCTTTGTGGATGAGGGCACCAGACACCATGGTAGTTAAACAGCCCAAGAAAACCAGGGAAGAGACGAGTGATTTTGTCTGCAAAGCAATACCTGAACAGAGCCCTTTGCAAAGCAGCCACATAACTAACAATGAAGCAAAGACATTCTAAGCACTACCATCTGTACAGGACACAGGGCAAGAGGGGAATGCAGGAAGAATGGAGCCTCATCACATGTTTAAAGTGAGTCTGTAAAGCTTACCCACAAGGCATAAGTTACTGAGTTAGCATCACCTAACCACAGAACCTTACAAACACAACTGCCCACCCTACACACGTTTTCGTATGCAGAAAAAAGGGGCATGTTCTGCACTGTATTCATTAAAGGATAAATCCTCTGAACATTTCGGTTCCACAAGGCAAATGTGGGCTTCCTTTGGCTAATTAGACTTGGCACCATTGTAACTGATAAACAAGGCCTTCTAAAATGGTCTGTTCCAAAATATAAATGTGTACCAATCTTAGGGCAAGGAAGTCACTAAAATAGTGCTCTTTGGTTTGACACAGAAATAGTTTAATAGAGTTTAATCTGGCTAAAAACATTAACATTCTAATCTTACTCACAGGAATATATTAATGCAGGGAAAATTGGCTCATTTCTCTCCTGTGCAGTTTCTACCAGCATTCTCAGTGGCCCCTTGGGACAGAGAACAGCCATCAGATCTGCAAAAAGAAAAGGGCCAGTCAATCTTATCCTGAACTATCAATGATATTTTACATTCTTTATCTTTAAAAAGGCATTCTCCCCTCAAAATAACATATATCAATATTAACTGGATGATTTCCTGAATGGCAGTTTCCACCACTTTGCATAACTCTAGCTGTTCTAGTCCCTGAAAATGTTGTTCACTTAAAATACCATCTCCAAGCCTTAACGTAATAATAAGAGTTTTCATTGTGCTAATCCTATAAAAAGCCTCTTGAGAATATCACATTATCTCTTTGAAAGCAGATGACAGCATTTCATTGAGGTGTTAAATTTAATTAGAGGAGGTGGAGTGGGGGTACTTTGTTCACATTCTACAATCCATGACTACATACACTGGCTCTGTGTATCACATGAATGAAGGCCTTTGGTCCAGTACCTCTTTGCCTACTCTCTCTCCTCCATCAGAGCTCTGCCCCAATCTGAATGTTACTTCCTGGATCCCTCTTGTTCTGCAGGTTCTCTTGAAACTTATACCTCATACCAAAATCTATGATCCCTCGATAACAGTAAATAAAACCTGCAAGACTATCAGGTTGCTACTGATAAAAATCCAACCACCCCTACCATGCAGTTAGGTGTGGTTCAGTACTTCCCTGACTTGGTGATCCACTTTGAAAGACCTGGTAGGAGTACACTACCTACACAGCCAAGTTAGCAAGAGACAAACTAGGGAGTCCACTTAATTGCCCATTTGCCTCTTTCTAAAGCTGGTAGCACCATAAAGCTGTTTTTCAATGACATACACAGTCCTGAGATTGCTTCACAGTGACCTTTCCAGGAGCCACACCTTGAGAGTCACAACCCAGACTTACCATAGATGGAGATTGCACCTAGAATCACCCATGCTGACCACTCAGGTAGATATTTAATGAAAACCAATGCCATTAGAGCACTGATCATAATGAGATATGCTTGCTGGAGCTGCAAGGGACCTTTCCAGTGGATGCAAATCATTCCAACAGCTCCAAAATTCCAGATGACTAAGAACAGAGTGGGGTAATCCATGGCCACATTGTAGGTCTTCAATACTTCACTGAAACACAAAAAGAAAATTTAGTTAAGCAATAAAAGCAACTGACATGTAAAGCATCCTACTAGCTGCAGTTAAACAAACAAGCCTCCAACTACACCAGGAGGAAGCAGAATAAAAGCAACTCTCAATCATGAAAGGGGAACCTGCCCTTTGGCCAGTTGCTGCTCTGAGTTCTCTGTTCTTCCTGCATGAGATGGACACCTTGTGTGTGCAGACAAGCACCACACTGCCCTAGTCCCAAGTTCAACAGCGATTCCAAGGATTTGAGCAGGCAGGATTTCAAGTTTTAACTGAACACTGGCCTGCAGCTACATGACTCTCTACACCAAAGAAGTCACATAAGTGTCATCCCACCAAATGCATGATGCTCAGAGTTAAAGACGAAAAGTCTTAACAAGTGCCACCCACAAGTTAAAAGTCTGAGCTGGGAGCCAAGGGAATGAGCTTGAAACAATGTAGTCTAAGAAAAAGGCAAGGCAAATCAGAGAAGCAACTCAGCACATGAAGTTCATCTCCATTTGCTTCTCACTGTAATTCAGGGCCTCTGTACCACAATGTTCAGCCTGTTCATTTCATGCTCACAGTATCACTTCCCAGTGATTATTTTACAGCAGGCACTGTAAAATCAGGCACTGCCTAATAAAGACCTCATTTTCCATTTTTTAAAAAAGAAAGCTATCTGATTCTAACAATCCTAAAACCTCCATTTGGAGAAGGGGAGACATTTCTTTCCTTGTTCAAGCTGGGGACTTTCTGCAAAAAGAGGAGCCCTGAACTGAGAGGTTACCTGCACCATTCCCACTTACCCAAGATATATGTAGGTAAAGAGGAAGAGCAGCATCAAAGAGGACAGGATCAGCCAGCCATGGATGAACTGTCAAGGGCAAGAAGAGACAGTGATTGTAGGGGCTGTTACCCCTGCACAGGTCACAGTATTGCACCCTGACAGTCTCCTTCTGCACTCCTCCTCCCGTGTCCCCATGGTCAGTCAGGGAGAAGGGACAGCCAGTTCCTCCCAGTTCTCCCAAACTCTTTCACTTCATATTCTGTGTCTTAGTGGTTTTGCTGGTTTGGGTTTTTTTAAGTCTCTTTCCTATGCATTTCCATGGATATCCATACTTGTTCCTAGCTTAGGTGAGCACATTCTCTCTGCCTGATGAGGAGGATGATGGATTTACCCAAGGCTGTAAAATAAATTCATCTTTGGGACAAGTTTACAAAGCAGGAATGGCCAGAGCTCAAATGCTGGGCTGGTACCACCTATTCCCTGGGCACCACAGAACCTGAATGTGCCTTTCCCTCCAAGCCTAGTGCTCTTCCACCGGAGCTGCTACAGGCAGGAATAATATCACTTCCCACAAAGGCTGTCTGAAATGTCTTAAGAGAAGGCATTCACAGTAAATGGTACAACTTAGTCCATAAGTACAAATGGCAAAACCTTTGGGTCAGATGGAGAAAACTCAGACCCAAGTAACACAAAGCAGAAGGCCTCGTTTTTAAGAGCCTGCCATTAGTGACTAAATAACAGCAGCGCACATGCAGGGGCACAGCTCTACCACCCCTGACAAAGGCTTCAGTTTGATACCTGCTATGACTAAGATGTGGATTAGCCAGTGCAGTGCCTATATTTCTCACTGACACGCAAGGCCCACTTGAACTCAAGCTCAGGAATAGGTGGAAAAGGCTCTGTCACGAACGCTTTACCTTGTAGCAGCGATATTTATAGAGCAGAACTAGGAACACAGTCATTACAATGATGACACTGATCATTATGATAGTGTTCAACACCGAGTTCAAGAGGCGCTGGCCCACAGACGGGGTATCCTCACTGAAAGGGGTGTAGATCCTGCAGGAGAAAGCAAAAGCCACGTAAAGTATATATATTCTCTTCTAACTAACCACCCCAGATAAAACCAGGCCTCTCTGTGTGTGGGAAAGAAAGGGAGGTAGGACTATCAAGGACAGCAAAAACGAGATGTAGCCTCTGAAGGGGCTGGGCTCAAGTTTAATTATCAACTAAAGATTAGTGGTCTCTATCAAAACCACATTCCTACAGAGAAGCTGTGGCTGGCAGAGCTCAAAACAAAAAGGCCTAGAGTATAAATGACTTTAGTTTAGTAACTGCTCTCCAGGCCATGAATTTTTATTGCATGCTCTGGATCCTCTCCATGATAATTAGGAGGATATATCCCAGGTGCTGTTCTGAAAGGGGGGACACCTTTTCTTTCCACACTTGGTAGGAGAGTCTTGGACTCTTTTACCCCATCTCATCACCCTGCACCCCTTCCTGCCACCCTGTTTTGTTTCCTTTGGTTCAGTTCAAGGGACTACAGTCCCTGTTTCTCCACTCAACGAGGGAAGCACAGTTAGAGCCCCAGGAGACAGGCCCTAGGAGTCAGACACAGTCAGCAAGAGCTGGATGGAGTTATGTATCCACACCATGAGTCTTCAGGAACCAGAAATACCACCAGGAAATGAGACACTCATCCAAATGAACATGCTATTCCCTGATTGCTGCCAGCTAGTGAGTGAACAGCCTAGGAGTTTGGCCCGGGCCTTCCATGCTGCAGAATGAAGCAGCTCCATTATCACGCTGCTCACAGGCCTCGCTCAGGGCACCCTAACGACAGCGCTAGCGAGTCGCTGTTAATGCAGGTATGGGAAAAACTTACACAGGTGAACGTAGCATTCTTTAGTAAGCTCTCTGCATGTTTACAGAGCCACCTTTACCTGTGTAAAGGTTCTCCCAGCCTGCCAAGGGAGCGCTACGCGTGCACAGACGCGTGGGCACGGAGGGGTGTGTGAAGCCGGGGGTCCCCCGTTACTCAGAGGCTGTTTGCAGACCCCACTTACAGCTGCCCGTTTTTCTCCGTATAGAAGCGCACTGACTTTATGGTGGCGACGACAACAATCATACAAAGGGTGACAGGCACAAAGAGCATGATTACATGCTTTGCTCCATATTTCAGAGTCAGTTCCTCCTCTTCATTTTCCGGGGCGCTTTCTCTCACTGGAACACCCGAGCCAGGCATTTCTCCACCCGCAATATTGTTCGGGCTACGGCTGCTACCTGCTCGCCTCTTCTGAAAAGAAATATTAGCAAACATATAAGATGCTTATTTTCTTTGTGTTCAAAGCTTTATTCCGTCATATCTTATGAGGCTGCTGTAGGCCACCACAGTACACCAACTGGGTTCTAATAAAACCTAGTACCAACTAGTTATAAAATACCAACTGAACAACACAATAGAAATTCCATTGCAAACAGGTTGCAGTGGAGTTTTTAAACCAAACCCATGAATATCTAAGGGCCTCTTCAAGTGCAAACATATAGAGGGGCACATACACACAAAGGGCATGATGCCCAGAGCTGAGATAGAAGAAATGTCATCTGAGGTGGCATAAGCTTGACAATTTCCTCCCCCTGCCAGCAATGCTGCGCTTGCTTTACCCTGCTGCTTTGCTGGCAGCTGGACTAGATTCTGTTCATTAGCTGCATCAGACCAGAGCAGAAAAAGGGTGTCTGGCAAAACAAGAAGGCTAAAAAGGATATCCTGCAAGAGTCATATGTGCATCAGGTCCTGATTAAAAGCCTGTATCTTTACCAAAAGGAAGGAAAAGGGAGGAGTATATATGGAGATAAAAATGGGGAAAAAGTCATAGTGGAGGAAATGGGAACAGGCAATGCTGCTGCTGGCTGAGAGTGACACCAGGGAAACAACACTGGCCAAAGACAATCCAAGAAGCCAGTCTGCCAGGAGGGATTGAGGGGTAGCAGGACCACATCTGTCATCACACCCCATGTCCTCACTCCCCAGGATGGACGCACACCTACCCTGTGTGCCTGCACTTCCCCTGCTTCTGAGGCTTGCAGGCCATCCTGGTAGGAGGGTACTGGAGGGCTCTCTGCAGACATCAGGGATGTTCTCTCATTGCAGGGCTCCTCCTCACTGTCCGAATTGTTCATGAATGTGATCATCGCCGCTTTCCTATGGAGCACTCAGGAGGGGCACAGCCAAGCACTACTCAAGGCTGAAGGGACAAGCAGAGCAAAGAATACAGTGAACACCACAGTGCAAACAATGGAAGTCTGAAAAGGAGGCACAATTTCAGCAGGGAGGCTACAGCACCCCACATAACTCCATCTTCTCCTAACAGCTGATTTAGTCTCCCATCACCCCAGGCATGACAATCCATTCTATTAAAGTCACTGTGACTTCTGCAGTCAGGGAGATCAGCAAAATGCAGCACTAAAGAAACCTAGTACTTTTTCTTTACCACAGCTTTTGCAGTTGCTATCTCTATTTTCCCTCTCCTACCAGTACACCTTGCCTTCCACACAGGAGGTTTCTCAGTGCTCAGTGTTTATTTTGCACAGGCCAAACAAAGCTTTGCTCAAATGCTGGCTGCCTGATAGAAAGCTAAGAGAGCTCAGCTCTTACACAACACTCTGCAAGCATTGGCAAGCAGCAGAACTTTCTTAGGAACCTGGAGCCTCAGCTTTACATAAGCCACTAGTCAGGAGTTACATGCTGTCTTCCCTGTTATGACTGTTTATTAACCAGATGAATGTTATAAGCAGTTCTTCTCTTTGCCCATGGACAAGGAGAGGCTTGTGTAGTAAGGAAAAGACCTGTTTCCTTAGGAGAGCCACTTTTGGGGTTTTTGTCTTGTGATTAAAAGCAAAATTATTTGGATGGGCAAAAACTTGGAGTATAAAAGTGGGGAATAGAAATGTTTGGCCTCTTTTCACCTATGGTTGTGCAGAAAAGCAGGCAAAGCAGTGACACAGTGCAAAAAAGAAAGAACAGCTCTCCTTTCTAAACACCAGAGGGAGAAGGTACACTGCCCTGGATACTGCAGAACAACCTTAAAGTCAGGGTTTCAGGAAGCTTTAGAGACAAATGATAGGAAAATTCTTTCTAGCATTTATTAAGTCTACTTAACAAAACAACTGAAGTAATTAAGTCACCTTCTGACTCTCAGCCACCCATCCATAAGCAAAACCATACCTCTAATGCATTCTAAGCTGTAATATCTGCAAGAAAACTCCTCCCCTCTACAGTACTTTACCCAAGCTCATGTGTCTCAGGACGTAGATCCAACTCAGAAGAGGAAGCTGAAGAAGCCACGTGATTTGGATGCACTCACTTAAATCTGAATCACACATTCATAGTCCAACCATCACACTCTGCTGTCTACCAGCCAGCTTGAGAGGTCAGCATGGGTACTCTGAAGATCTGTGAGATATTCTTGCTTCTCACTAAAGAAACTGAAATTTGCTTTCAAGGAAGGAAAGAGGGAGGAGTGGAAGATCCCCCTTTCTTTCACAGCCTCCTCAACACATCTGGCACCTTCAGGAAATTCTAGAACATCAACTCAATCTACCCAAGTGAAACATTTTGCAGGCATCTGCTGCTTCCCTGCCTTCTCTTGCTTTTCCATATAATTTTGTTCTTCTTTTGATGATAAAAGTGGTAAAGTTATGGGAAATAAATGCAGGGCTAGCCCTCACAAGGGGCCTGTCAGCTTCATAGCAATCCTGTGTTCTTACTGAGTGAGCTGCTTAACACTTGCATTTGTGGGCTTATTCCTCACAGAGACCAAAATCTCCACTCTGGGTACTTAACACACTCTTCCAGCTAAGCACATGAGGGCTCTCAGTTTACAGCTGGGATACTAGACTCTGGTTCAGTTATCGGATTTAGGTCTTTAAAGAAGTCGGATATATAAAGTCATTCAGTCATGACATACTTCTGGATCAGGAACAGGGTAAGTTATGCATGCCACAGGATCTGTGACCTATGGAATTTAAATAACTCTAAAACCCTTCTACCCATGTCAGAGACCAGGGAACAAATAAATGAAGACTTACTCTCCGATAGTTTGGGACCAATATTTGGGTTTTAACAACCCAATGAAAATACTGAATAACTTTTTCTCCCAGTATTTAAGAAATAATTTTTGCTACATGAACAGAGGAATTCTGCAGAGAATTTTAAAGGGACAGCCAATTAGCCTACTTTCAACACCTTTGTTATGCCCACTGGAGGAGTTAAACCAATAGCAAAATGATGGTGCCAATTACTAACCTTCATAATTGCACGGAAAAAATAATCTCATGTTGAAATACAGCCAACTTTAAGGACGTTTTCTGCTATTCTCCCTCCACAAGGATAAGGACATGCAAAGATGCAATGATACTTTTGGTCAGCAAGCAGATTCAGGCTTGAACACAGCTTTACTGTCCCTTATTTAAAAGGCTGTGGTTTCAGTGAGGGTTGACACAAACACACCGCAAAAATTTTATAGGAGCTCTTGTGGCAACCAGCCCTCAACAAATCCTCAGACTCTGTACTCACAGCTGCCTTAAAGTGCCATAAATATTGATCCTGCCAAAGGGGTCGTGCCACCACCCTCTGCCTCTCTGGTACCAACACCAGGTGCTCATCAGCTGTTTAGCACTTTTGAAAAGATAGTAAGGCACCTGTTTTCCTTTGCTTTCACAGAGTGAGCTCCCAGCAGGACTAGCTCCCAGAGTGGCAGTGCCCACATGAGGAAAAGGGACCATCGTGCCATCCCCCTTCCAGTAGGGTCAAGCCTTACGGTGACAAGCCTTTTGCCTGCTCCCAGACAAGCAGCCCATCCTCACCTCAGGTCTGCAACACCTATGGCAGTGTGGCTCTCAGCTAAGCAGAAGCCTTGGACATACAGTTTATGGAGGCAGGAACACTGGTCCCACCATGGACCCAGAAGGGATTTTGCCTAATGCCACTGTTTATTCATCAGACCTGCACTTTGAACTGGCACCAAGGCTGTGCTGGCTGCCAGAGAGAGCTTTGGTTTAAGCAGTCTGTCCTTCAGGGGAAGAAGGACCAGCCTGGTGACTCTCACGCATGGACCCAGCACAATAGCACCCTTTGGGCTGAGCAGAGCAAAAGAAGATGAAGCTTCTGCCCTGGGGCTTGCTTGCCAAACAGAAAGGGAGCCACAGAGCACCAGTCAACAAGGAAAGGGGTGTTACAGAGCCACACTGTTTTCTGGTATCATTTCACGAGTTAAACTAAGGAAAAAGGCCTCGTGGAGATGACTTCTACCTGTCAAAACTATGCTGGATACTTCATAATGGAAAGCACAGGAACCTTCTTACCGACTCATGCACAGCAAATACATCTGTGCATACTAGCTATGTTTGCTAGGCTAAGCTGAAAAAGGGAAAGAACAGTTCAGGAATGGAAAACACGGAGCACTGAGACAAGCACACTTCCTTTCTGGCTGAGGCAGCAGAAGGAGCTTCCGGAGTGTGTGGGGGAAATGTGAGCTGTATCTATATCCACAGAAAGCTTTAGAGCATGGTCTACCAAATACATTAAATGAAGAAGTTGAACAACACGTGCCAGCCCATCATCAAGCTGACCCAGTAGGTTGTGTCAGGCAAAGTTTTCCTCGTCGCCTCTGTAGATGGGTTCAAACCACCAGATCCCATTCAAAAGATCACACAGCATTTAAGAGCCAAAAGACTGAACTCTCAAAACTGTGTGGCAAAAATGAGAGGGGGCAAAAACTAGGTCAGTAGTAAGTGCTGCATGTAACAGAGTAGCCGAGGTGGGAATACAATTACTCCTGCTTTATAGCAGTCTTGTGAAGCCTGAAGGAAAGCAGGAGTCACCAATTCTCTCTTTCCACATGTCCTTTGTGCAAGGGACCTCTTTCCTCAACTGCGGTAAATCAGCTTTATGGATTTTGATGAAACTGGGCCAGTTCACACCAACTTTAGGATGCAGCCTCAGTTTGCCTTTTATTTTCACGATGCAAACAACCTAAATCCTTTGCTCTGCATTTCATCTGTCACAAATAATACCAGTACAATATATAGCACAGAACAGCTGCTATAGCTTTCAGAATACTTATCCACTCGAGAGCTAAAATTCCTGCTTATACATATAAGAAAACAATATTGTTCCCTTTGATGGCAATTAGATGAAGAGAATTGTTTTTTCTTTGCTATATTTAGATCAAGAGAAAGCTTTGGGATGACACTGACAGCCTGACTTTCTCCTAAGTTTTGGCTCTAGCAATCACTGCTGTTGGTAAATAGGAAGAGAAAAAAACTCTTAAGAAATCTTAAGTGGTGGGGTCAAAATTAGGAGGAAAGATTACCAGGTTCTTGCCAATAAATAAAGCCAGAACAGGCATGCTGCTAAAATGACAGGGGATTTGGAACACACTGTCTCAGTGGCTTAAAGAGAACTTGAAAATACCACTCACTTTCGGCCTCAGATCACAAACAATAACAACACAGGAGATAGTATGGGAGGTTGTAAAGATTTGTAGCTTTCTTCCTCTACTTTAGCTGAACACTGCTTTCTTTGGTCCCACGAGAAAGACACAACACATAGCCCCAAGGGGCAATTTTGCTGGCAGAACTGAAATCAGACCCTCCCCAAGAGAGTCAGAAGAATTATTTTGCCAGCATCGAGCCCAAGAACTCTTATCAGCCAACTCTACATCCCAGTATAAAGGCACCACAGCCCTGCAGACACACTTTCACCAGCAAAACCCCAAAGCTTGGGTCAGACTTCACATGCAGGAGCAGCTCCTCACGTTGGTCCTAATCCTGCCGGGGACATCGGAGCCAGCAGGTGCTGGAGGTGACACACTGGGGACACTCAAGGACATCTGTGTTGGGGCTGAGTTCCTGCGTCCTACCCGGCTGGCACAGAGCCTGGGTGCCCCTGTTTTCCCCCGAGGGCTGGCAGAGGACACACAGGACCACACCGGGGCTGGCTCTGCTTCCCTGCTCATCCAAGCGCATGGCCGGAGACAGGGACAACACACACCTACATTTAAAAGGAAAAAAAAAAAAAACACCCCGCCCCCCCATACACACCCCCGCCAGGCAGAGATTTTGCAGGAGGCCAGAGGAGACCCTGCTCCCATGCAGATGCTCCTTCTCCCCAGGTGTCCCTTCTAAGGCTTAAAAAGCTGCTGCCGCTGAAGGTGTGCCGGAGGCACTTCCAAACGAAACCCGGGATGGTAGGTGGGGACGCCACCGCCCAGGAGAAACAAATGGACATGTATTTTACGCACGTGTATACAAAGCCACACGTGTAAATGTATATTTTTATATATACATATATGACATACACACCCAAATAAGAATATGCGTATGTACGTATATACACACACAGAGATAGACGCGGCGATCCCGAGACCCCGCGCGAACGACAGGCCCCGGCCCGTGCCGCCCCAGCCGTAGCCCGCAGCATCCCCCCGGGGCATCTCATCCGATCCCGCTTCCCCGGCCGGCCGTGTTTTACCTCTCCCGACCCGGCGCGCGCTTCCCCGGCGCTCCCATTGGCTCCGCGCCGCGCCTCCGGCCCCGCGCAGCCGGGAGGGAGCGGCCGCGCTCGCCCATGCTCGACGGGCCTGTCGTTTTCGCGGGGTGTCCCCGCCTTACGGGCCGTTCTCCTCAAATAGAAGCGAGACGGAAGAGGGCGCCAAGGTTCGCTGGCCAGGGAGGCGGTGTGTGAGGCAGCGGTGGCGGGGCCGCCATAGTGGGGAGGGTGCGGGCGGTGCCCGGGCTTCGGGTCACGGGGAGTCCTAGAGTGGTTTAGCTTGGAAGGGACATTAAAGGTTATCTAGTTCCAACCCCCACTGTCATCGGAAGGGCCGTCTTCCGCCAGGCCAAGTTGCTCTAAAACCCATCCAGCAGTTGAACACTTCCAGGGATGGAGCAACCACAGCTTCTCTGGGCAACCTGTTCCAGTGCCTCATCACCCTCACAGCAAAAAACTTCCTCCTAATATGTAATCTAAACCTGCCCTCTTTGAGTTTGAATCCATTCCCCCTTGTGCCATCACTACATGCTCTTGCAAAAAGTCCCTCTCTGCCCTTCTTGTAGGGTCCTTTCAGCTGCTGCAAGGCTTAATGTTTATCAAAGCATTCCTTCAGTAAATGAAAAGCTACGCAAGTGTGCAGATCCTGATGGAAATTAGAAGGGATAATAATTAGGTAGAAGTGTGGAGAACTAAATAGAGAAGCCAGAGGAAATGGTCAAAGAATAGTTCTGCTAGAGTTGTGTCTGACCTCTGCTCAGCCTTTAGAATAGAGGGGCGAATAAAAGAAAATTACAATTTCACATTCGCTATGGGTGTGAGAAGTTTGTATTTTCAGAATGTAAGCCTTTTTGTTTAATTTTTTTTTTAAGTTAGCATGATGGTAAGCAAGATAATTCCATAGACAGATGAAACTGCTCTTCAGTCAGCACGCATACCACTCCTGCCTCTGTTCCCATTGCTTTATCAAGCATCAGTCAAGTAAAATTAAGATTCTGGCAGTTCTGTATCACTTGCTCATCATCTGTGGGGGCAGAGACACGAACTGAAGTCATGGCAATTTCCTTCTGCTGCTGTTGTCATTTAAGGAAGAACCTCAGGCACAAACACAAGGAATATTTGCAGCAGAGCTTTACGCTCTTCTTTGCTCCATGCCATTTGTGATGATCTTGCATACAAAAGGAACGAAGGGCGAGATGGCAATGAAGGAGACATGAGATACCGTAAGTGTACCGCCCCACTGTATATCATTGGAGAAAATGGAATTTTTTGCAGATTCCAAATCTAAGTTGGCCATCATTTTCCCAAAATTTCCTGCACAATATTGGTGACAAGTGATACACCTTCCTTGTACCTGTAATCCTTATTCTGAACTACTCTGCACACAAAAATAAGTTATATGTAAAATTCTTCAGAGCCCCAGAGAGCTGTCTATCCAAGCATGGCTAGCTGGCCTTTGCCAAGGTAAAGTCACTCTGGGAAAACTGATAAATTGTGTGCTTGGCTGTGTTCTTCACTAGCAGATTGTCACAGCTTTTCTAACACTTTCCTCTCTCTCACTTGTCTACCTTTGGTCTTTGTGCTGAGCTGTTGAATACCTTTTCACTGGACACTTGATCCAGCTGGAGATTTTTTAAGTGGAAATTTCTCTGATTAATTTAATCCTTCATGCCTTGTATGCTCAGCTGGTTGTTAAGTTTAATATTAGGAGAAGGAGCAATTTGGGTTGCACTCAGCTTTACCCACAACCAACAGTTGTTTTACACCTCTTTACTTTTACATGGAGCTTACGTATCTGACACAAATTTGGGATAATAGTAAAAATATTTTTCTGTTTTAAAGCATTTTACAACTCCAAAGCCAAAGCACTGATGGTCTGAACTGTGCTGCTTTTCACCTCACCAGTTTAGCTAAGCCTGCCCAGAGTAATCACTGAGCCAGCAACATGCACATTTCCAGTAAAACCCCTGATCTGTGAAGGAGATAGGGAAATTGTTCTTAGACTCCTTCTTCTAGGGGCTGAAGGGGTGGGAACTGGTTTTACAAGACCAGTTGCCCTTTATCCGCAGCTTTAGAAGCTAAACTTGCAGCTTTTTGTATCTCTTAAAAGTGCTGCTCTGTGGAAAAGATTACATTGACATGAACTACAGAGGTCTCTGGCCTGAAATTTAGAGGTAAATTCATTGTTTATTTCCACATTCTCACTAGATCCTCTCTTTTGCTCTCACCCAGATGAATAAGTGCAAAGAGGTGTAGGTCTTGTGCAACCTAGCCAAGGGTTTTAGGAAAAATTACATGTACTGCAACCTTCATGAAAGTACACAAACTGATGGCACTGAGGCTGTGGGTATGTGAAACCCAGATGTCTTTCTGAGAATTCATATCCTGCCTGACTCCTTTGTAGTTTTCAAAGGCAAAAATCTAGCTTAACTCAGTGTTCCTTTTCTGTACCCTAAAGTGGGTTTAGGAAGAAAAATAGTTGTTACAACCTCTTTGTCCATGAGTGTTTCTTCCTTGCAGCTTTCAGTCAGAATACCCCTTCACATGTTTTTTCCTAGCTGCATCACATGAGGAGCATCTGACCTGAGAGCAATTTAAAAGGCTCTTTGAGCAAAGCCCCACTGTATCATATGGCCATCAAAAATATTTCTGCTTTTTTTCTATTTCAAACAGATCTGTGCAGTCATTTTCTTAAAGGATCTTTCACAGATAATGTAAAATATGCCTGTTCCTAGGAAAATCATGTGACAAGCTGCATCACAGCTTTGTGACGTGGGAGGTCAGTGTGTCTTGCCAGGCTGGTGGTTGTTCTGAAGTACATAGGGACATTCTCTGGGATTGCCCTAATGTTCTCCATTTCGTTACTGAGATGTTTACAGTAGGAAATCTCAGGGAGATTTTGGTCATAAACTGTCGCAATCCTCCAAATATATCCAAGGAATTGTGACTGTTTTATTTCAGGAGACATAAATAATACCCGGAAATAGATTACTGACACAAATTCAAACAGAGATGCTCCCTTGACTTTTGAATGGAAACAGACATGAATCCATCTGTCAAAATAACATTAAAACCTCTTGTGCTTGCACGGAAGATTTGAATAGGGTCAGGCTCAGCATATCTGAGGTTTTGTGCTAGAATAGACAGTACTTTCCAAGAGTCTTGCTCAGTTTATTCCACTCTGCAGATCTGCAGAGCCTTAAGGAAAGGTCATTACAGAATACCAAAGCAAACATTTTTCTCATAACTGAAGGAGATCTGCTAATTCATGAAATGACTTAGCGAGCATCCAGGGCTCATGACGGAGTGCCACCTGTGGGCAGGAATCATATATTGGTGTCACACTTCTGTGGGGATTTTTAAAGAGTACTCCCACACTGGTGTATCCTTGACACCTCAGATCCAACCAGACAGTTCAGACTTAAGCTCCAGTATCAAAAAGCACTGTATATCCTTCTGTCTAAAACAGAGCTAAGTACGGATCCATAGTTCCCTAGACTGTAGACTATGGATCTGACTCTAGGAAGCACACCTCCATCGTAAGGGGATACTAATCAGTTGTGTCATGCACAGACCTGAGATCATTTCACAGTCCATTCCTTCCAGGTCTACAGCATCACAGAAGCTGTGTAGATTACTGCTTTCTAATGGATGTAGAAATGAGCCAAACATGAGATCTCTCAAACAGACAAGGCCACAGTGGTGGGAAGGGTACAGGAATTAAATCTGGTGAAGTGTGCAGTTACAAAGCAGTCAGTGATGCATCCAACCCAGTGGAATGCTGCATAAGTCTTGCTTTTAAGCACAGGTCCTTTGCAGGCCCATCAAGCAGGACCAGGACAGCCCCCTTTGCCTGCCTGGGAGCAAAGCTCCTGATGCCATGGTGCCCTCTGGACCACTGGCTCAGACAGCTTCTCCTGCCTCCTTAGGTACATGTTCTGTACGGTTTTGCTAAAGAATCAAGTATCCCTTTAGGAGACAAATGCACCAGTCTGAAGACCAGTAGTATGCTTTTAAGGTTGTTGATAGCTCTTTGGCTTTCCAGATCTTGGGACAAATCCTTCAGGCAATCCCAGGCTCTGAGCAATTAGCAGACCTCTTCATGTGACTTGGAAAACTGTGAGTTAACACTGCTCTATTTGAAATCAATGACAAATCAATAATGGCATTAACTGAAATGAGTTCAGTCTTTGAAAAAAAAAGAAAATAAATGTCTAACATTTTTAAACATGCACATAACAGGGAAAAAAAAGAGAGAGAGAAAGAGAAAAAGGTTCCTCATAACTACAGAGATGAATAATTGTATAATTTACTTGTGCCTGTTGCTGTCCATGGTGGGGGGAAGTGAATAAGGAAATGTGAATTATACATTAATATCCAAATAAGTCCTTCCCGGTTGTATTTGAAGGAGATTCCCCGTCCACTACCTGTGAGGGAGAGTCTCCCTGTGCCCACTAGGGGACAGAGCTCTGCCGCGCACGTCCTGTCCTCGGCAGCGGGATGGGCTCTGAACATCTGCAGCCCCAGCTCCGGCACGCTCTGTGATAAGCCTTTCAGGGGATTTTTATTGCAATCAGCTCTCTGCGAAACACATTATCTGCTCATATAGCCCTCTCTGGAGAATGTCTCTGTGAAATGTCTCGTGTTGCAAAGCTTCTGACATTACCAGAACGATTGTTTTGAAGCCACGTTGTTTGCTGGATTCCACCACGCTCTTCAGGCACTCAGGTAGAGCCCAGGTTGTCTTTGCTATAACAGTTGTATCATGACCAGTGTTCCCACTGCTAGAGCTACAGCTGTAGCAGCATGGGCAAGAAAACCAAGAGAATATAGGCAAAAATATATTTTTCACTCCCCTAAGGGAAAAGGGGGAAAGTGTCATATTTTGATTTTTGTTTAAAAGAAACACAAGGTTTAATTGCTTTCTGTTTCTGAACTTCTCTCATGTACTCATGTTAAACAGCAGTTTTCCAGAATCCATTGTCCTATTTCTGCAAGCTTCTCTGCACAGAAGCACTTAGAATAGTTTATTTTAGT